TTTAAGTGTTCTAAGTGCTCTTTAAATGTTCTAAGTACTCTTTAAGTACTCTTTAAGTGTTCTTTAAGTGCTCTAAGTGCTGTTTAAGTGTTCTAAGTGCTCTTTAAATGTTCTAAGTACTCTTTAAGTACTCTTTAAGTACTTTTTAAGTGTTCTTTAAGTGCTCTAAGTGCTCTTTAAATGTTCTAAGTGCTCTAAGTGTTCTTTAAGTGTTCTAAGTACTCTTTAAGTACTCTTTAAGTACTCTTTAAGTGCTTTAAATGATAAAAGTACATTAACTTTATATCTCTTTATATCACTAAACGCCATCTTCATCTAAACGCTTTTTTCAATAACTTTACAATATTACTTTTCATCAATTCAATAGTTTAACAGTTACCGTATTTTCTCTAATAGTAGTGCACGTTGAGCGTCGCCTAAATTCCTCGAAATCTCGAGAACCGCTTATCAGAACCTATCGATGTGGGGTCGGTAAATGTAGCTGACGATGAGATCTAGTGGAGGATTAAAGTGTTGAGCTTCTGTAAAAGCTTGGGAACCGTAAAATAGCCATCAAAATCGTCACCAACTCGGCTCGGGTGCACTACTATTAGAGAAAATACGGTATCAGGCTTGAACTATTAAATCTTATAATCTATCTGGTACAGTGAACCAAATTTTTGTCTTTTCAGCTAAACCGTAAACACAATTGCGCTAAATTCTTCATTTTCCTTCGCTTTCTGAAGAAAATCAGGGATTCGTGCGCCAGAATGCGCCAGAATCGGATTCGTGCGCCAGAATGGGTGGCTGTATGTGGATTTAGCATTTTTTTAAGGCCAATTAGGCTGAAAATTAGCACCTGAGGGTTTTCCGGGTCAAGGAATTCGAATTCGTTATTAGTTTTTAGAGAAAACTGCTTTATTTTTGGATATTTCATTTGGTTTACCGTATTCTCTCTAATCGTAAACTCTAATCTAAGTGCACCCTGCGCGTTGCCTGAATTCCTCGAAATCTCGAAAAGCGCTTATCAGAACCTATCGATGTGGGGTCGGAAAATGTAGCTGACGATGAGATCTAGTGGGGATTTGAGTGTTGAGCTTCTGGGAAAAGCTTGGGAACCGTAGAATGGTCGTCAACTCGACGCAACTCGACGCAACTCGACGCAACTCGACGCAACTCGACGCAACTCGACGCAACTCGACGCAACTCGACGCAACTCGACGCTCGCCGGGGTGCACTACTATTAGAGAAAATACGGTAATCGCCCCGTTAAAATTGGTAAGCCGCCCCCTTAAATCGGTTTAGTTATAATATTTCATAAGATTTCATTTTTAAATCCCTTGAAAATGAAGAAAATGTTTACTTTTCTCTTCTCCAAAGAAAACCTTGATTTTATGGACTTTTTTGTTTTGTATTTTTGATAGAAAGTCGAGTGAAAATCGCGTGAAAATCCTTGTGGAAAGAACAAAAGAAAAAAAGAATCAAAACTCGTTTCCCGAACTTTATATCTCTACGAAAAAGATTTCCCCATAAAGGAAAACGATCTTTAAAAATCTCTTTATCAAAACAACTCTATTTGACAGAAAAATAGTGGATAGGAAAATCTTTAAAGGTCAAAAAGGGGAGGTAGTCAAATGAGCGCCAAAAATTGAGCGCCAATCATTTCAGCGCCAATCATTTTAGCGCGCGTTCATTTCAGCGCGCGTTCATTTCAGCGCGCGTTCATTTCAGCGCCGCACCAAAAATGACTGGAAAACATTCATTTCAGCGCCGAATCAGCCCATTCTGTATATGCATGTTATTTTTGCATTTTCTGCATGATCTCAAAGTTTTTACTGTATGTTTTTATCTAAATCATCTAAAGATAAAAATAATTCTTGGCAGCAAAATAAACCAAAATAAATCATGAACAAAACGTTACTTTGACTCAGAGTGTTCCTTTGTCTCGCCACTTCTTGCGCAGTTCACGAGCCTAAGCAAAGAACTATGTTAACTGTAAGCAAATTGTAAACGAAAACGGCAAGAAACGGTGAAAAAGCATGCTATTGGGGGAAAATATCATACAACTAGCAAATTTACACATTTTCATCAAAAAAACCTTAAATACGAGCTAACCTAACAATTTTTTCCGCGCATTTGATGCCTACTACCGTGCCCTAGGTCAAATGAGTGAAAAAAAGTGTAAAAACAGAAGCAAAACCCTAAAAAACATGCAAAAGCAGCGTAGAAAGCAAAAATATTAAAATTTAGTCGCGCTGAAATGAACGTTTTCCAGTCATTTTTGGCCCGGCGCTTAAATGAACGTTTTTAGGCCTTTTTAATTTGGCGCTCAAATGATTGTTTTCCAGTCATTTTTGGCACGGCGCTCAAATGAGTGGCGCTGAAATAAGCGTGAGCCAAATCGTTGGCGCTGAAATGATTGGCGCCCAATTGTTGGCGCTCATTTGACTACCTCCCTCAAAAAGTGCTACGAAATTTTCGTCTGCAATTTTTATGGAAAAATCTAGACAAAAGTGTGATATCACAACTTTATTTTGTAGAGTTTTATAGCTTAAGTTTATTAGCTTAAGTTCGTCTAGTTTATAGCTTTCTTTATAGTAATTAGTAAGTTTAAAGCTTAAGTTGATAGTAGTTAGTGAGCTTATAGCTTTACTTTATAGTAGTTACTTTAGTTTATAGTAGTTAGTGAGTTTATAGCTTTCTTTATAGTATTTAGTTTAGTTTAAAGCTTAAGTTTATAGTAATTAGTCTAGTTTATAGCTTAAGTTGACAGTAGTTAGTGAGTTTGAAGCTTTAGTTTATGGTAATTAGTTTAGTTTATAGCTTAAGTTGATAGTAATTAGTAAGTTTGAAGCTTTCTTTATAGTAATTAGTGAGTTTATAGCTTTCTTTATATAGTTAGTTTAGTTTATAGCTTTCTTTATAGTAATTAGTTTAGTTTATAGCTTTCTTTATAGTAGTTACTTTAGTTTATAGCAGTTAGTGAGTTTATAGCTTTCTTTATAGTATTTATTTTAGTTTATAGCTTTCTTTTTAGTAATTAGTAAGTTTATAGCTTTAGTTTATACTAGAAAAGATCTTAGACTATTCTACTGTGATTGGACTATGATTATTTTGCAGTCCAGAAAGACTGCAAAATACTTTTCGTTCCTTTTCTTAATTCCCTTGAAAAATAACAAATTCACCAATTAGGCTATATAAATTTCTTTACGAAAAACCCGTTTTGCACTGTCGAATTTGCCTGTAAGTGAGCAGAAGTTGACGATATTTTACTAACTATGCCTTTTTTCAGTCTATTTTATCGGTGTAATACTTTAGACAGCTTTTTAGACAACTTAGATAGCTTTAGATAGGTTTAGATAGCTTTAGATGGCGTTAGATGGCTTTAGACAGCTTTTTCAACAGCTTAGACAGCTTTTTAGACAGCTTAGACAGCTTAGATAGCTTTTTAGACAGCTTAGACAGCTTTTTAGACAGCTTAGACAGCTTAGACAGCTTTTTCAACAGCTTAGATAGCTTTTTAGACAGCTTAGATAGCTTTTTCAACTGATGTATAGATCTAAAATCAAAGGTAACTCATTTCTGGAGTTCGTTTTGGCCACCGAGTTCGTTTTGGTCACCCCGCTCCAGCTCCAACTCAAGCTCCAGCTCAGAGATCCAGGATTTCCAGACCAAGCTCTTAGTTTTGAGAGATTTTTTGGATCTTCAGAGCGAGATCTTAGTTTTGAATAGCTTCTTGATAGCTTTGAAATATTATAAACCTTTTTTTTCGTATCAAATTTTCCCCAAAACCCCAGCTGTTGACATGGAAATTCCCGAAAATTTACCCCGGTCAATTGTTTGGAAATTCGGAGGCAGAGAAATGGGGAAAAGAGGTGGGAAAACAGCAAAATAGGCATGTTGATGGGCAAAATTGTGAAGAGAAAACAAAAGATGGAAAAGAGGGAAAAGGGAAGGAAAGGAAGAAAAGGAAGAAGAGGAAGAAGAGGAAGAAAAGGAAGAAGAGGAAGAAGAGGAAGAGATTCCGGAAGAAGCACAAATAAACACTCAAAGGGAAAATGGGGGAAAATATTCAGAGGATTGTTGATCAAAAGGAGAAACCGGGCCACCAAGTCTAGATGGTTCAAATTGGCAGAAAGCTTACTAACAAGTGATGAAATCTTTGGCTTTTTGTTGCTTTTTGGTTGATTTGATCTTTTGATGAAAGAAGTTGCTTTTTGGTTGATTTGGATGCTTTTTTGGGTGTTTTTGGATGGTTTAGATGCTTTCTTAGGTCATTTTGGCTGATTTAATGGCTTTTTTGAGTCACTTTGGCTGATTTGGAGGCTTTTTTGAGTGATTTTGGCTGATTTGAATGCTTTTTTAGATATTTTTGGATGGTTTAGAAGCTTTTTTAGATGTTTTTAGATGATTTGGATGCTTTTTTGGGTGTTTTTGCCTGATTTGAATGCTTTTTTAGATATTTTTGGCTGATTTGGATGCTTTTTTGGGTCATTTTGGCTGATTTAGATGCTTTTTTAGATGCTTTTAGATGATTTGGATGCTTTTTTGGGTGTTTTTGGATGGTTTAGGTGCTTTTCAAGTCATTATGAATGATTTGGATGCTTTTTTGGGTCATTTTGAATTATTTGAATGCTTTTTTAGATGTTTTTAGATGATTTGAATGCTTTTTTGGGTGATTTTGGCTGATTTGGATCCTTTTTTCAGTCATTTTGAATCAAACTAGATGCTCAAACCGAAAGCAAATCTATTACTGAAATTTCTCAACTCTTAAATCATTCTATTAGCTTTTCCGTTTCGCAAAACCCCATTCTTTGAGTCATCTTCTAAAGAATTTATGATAATGTGCTGGGCAAATGGAAAAAAAGGGAAAAGGACGAACAAAAGAGAGAAGAAAAGGGATCAAAGATGTACTATCACAGCAAAGTGTACTATCACAGCTTTATATTGTATAGAATTCATATTTAGATATTTATCATAAATAATATAAGAATAAATCTAAATAAAAATAAAGAACAAACCTCTTGCAAATCCTTAACGGCCATGTGTATTGAAAAGACATTTTCTCGCGTGGTTCATCACTTGTCGAAGCCTCTTGCAGAGTCGGATCCACTGAGAGAGGCACTTGCATTTCCTGGAATCGAAAATTGCATAGATTAATACAAAATATGATTTAATTATCGTTTTAAAAACTAAAAAAAAACATCCAGTTGCAGATCAGTGCGCCGCCGGGAGTCGAACCAGCCACCTTTAGCTCAGTGAACAACTGTGCTAGCCACTATACCACAAGGCAATAGACTCCCCTACTCCAGAGGGAGTTAAGTATCCAGTTTATCCAGTTTTTAAGGAGGTTATCATAGATTTGCTTAATACCGGAAGCCGAGACAAAAGCCGAGTTAAGCGAGGGGGCGGAATGGCGGCCATGGCCGAATGGCTAAGAGCCTCGTCTCTCAGTCGAGAGGTCGAGGGTTCAACCCCGTCTCCGGCCAGTCCATTCTGCTTTTCAACCCCAAGCCATTTTGCTTGATACCTGTCAACAAGACGTCACCGCCGACTGGCTAAGAGCTCTTATTGGTTCGGTCAATCAATTCCGCCGGGTTCAATCCCGCCGCCGGTTCTTATTTTCATTTTTTGAAAAATTCTGTCTCCAGATTCTGGAAAACTAGCCTTTAAAGCAGATAAAACTCTTTAAAAAAAAAAATTCCATCGTAACCTATTTACAAAAAGATTGAAAAAATAAAAGCTTTTTTTTAATTTTTTCCTGGATCGATCAGAGAAGATCTAGAGTTCCCTGGATCGATCAGAGTAGACCTAGAGTTCCCTGGAGCTCAAACCATGGTTCACTAACTTGCCTAGGACTTTTGAACCTGGGAATCATTTCTTTAAGCTCTTAATTAGACTTGAATTAACCCATTAAACAAACTTACAAACTCGTTAGCTATAAAAATAATATCTATTTTAGCAAAACTCTTAGCTAAAGATCATAAATTGATCGGCGAAGTTTCCCCGTCACTCAAAAGTTTGCTGATAAGGCAAAAAAAAGCTCAAAAATCTGTTGTTTTCTTTGAAATTCTTAGAAAACTCATAGAACGATTAAAAGAAAAAGGAAAATTTGCATTTAAAAGCCATTTTTTGTGAGGTAATTTTCGAAATTCTTAAATAGAAAAAGCTTGGCAAAAAAGCCAAAGGACATTTCGCGAAAACGGGATAATTTCGATTAAAAAAATCAGTAATTGATGGATAAAAATTGAATTTGGAAAAGGAGACTCTTTAAATAATGCTTTAATTTGTGCTTTAAACACTTTAAATCCTTTAAATACTTAAAAATAGAGATTTATAGATGAAAGTAGCTGGGTTTTTTTGAAATTTTTAGACTTGGAGAAATCTATCGATGAAAATAGGTAAAATTTTACGCTAAAAGTATAAAACTACAACTACAACTTTAACTACGATTTTAGCTATAACTTTAACTACAACTTTAACTATAACTTTAACTATAACTTTAACTATAACTTTAACTACAACTACAACTACAACTTTAGCTACAACTACAACTTCAACTTTAACTACAACTTTAACTACAATTACAATTACAACTTTAGCTACAACTACAACTACAACTTTAACTACAACTTCTTGACGTCAAAAATACACCCTAAATTCCCAAGCAGCCAAATCCACTAGATAGATATTTATAACTGCACTAGAGATTTATAAGTAAATATTCAAATAAATACTTAGAAATAGTTACAGAAATGTCAAGAATAACGTCAAGAATCCAGATTCAAGAGAGATTTTAGAGATTCAAAATCAAGATCATCTACAGATCTTTTGCTCATGATAATTTCATTTAATTTCATTTAATTTCATTCACTTTCATTCAATTTCATTAAATTTCATTCACTTTCATTCAATTTCATTTAATTTCATTCACTTTCATTCAATTTCATTCAATTTTCTTCAATTTTCTTCAAACAAACCTCGCTCATGTTGTTGAAATAGAATCGAGTTGATTTTGTTCGTTTTTCCTTTGGAAATTTATCGTTTTAGTGAATTTGAAGGGAATTCCTTTAAGGTGCACATGAAATAAACACCTGAAAAGTAAAAATAAACAAGAATTTAGAAAACGATTAATAAAGATAAAGATAAAGTTTAAGATAAAGATAAAGATAAAGAGAAAGATAAAGATAAAGATAAAGATAAAGTTTAAGATAAAGATAAATTAAAAGTAAAGCTTAAGAAAAAGATGATAATGATGATGATAGATACTTTTTTAAGGAAATGAGGGCAAAAGGGACATGAAAAAGGAAAAAAATCAGGACAAAAATAAAGTAAGCAAGATTTAAGATTAATCCACATCAATTCATACAAATAAATACGAAAAGAAAGAATAAAAAGCAACACGATATAATAATATATGAATATAGGTAGCGTTAAGAATTCACTAGAGATTCAAGATCAAGATCATCATCAAAATCATCTACAGATCATTTAAAAATGATAAGTAAAAAGCAAGGTTTAAGATATAAATAAGTAAAAAAGTAAAAAAATAAAAAAATTTTTTAAAAAAGATCAGTAAAAGTAAAGTTTAAGTTAAAAATAAGTTAAAGACCAGTTTAAAAAAGCTAAAACTTCCTTAGAAAACCTTAGAATACAATATAGTTATGCTATTTAAAATAAAAAAACTAAAAATCGAATTCGGATGGCGCTGCCGGGGGTCGAACCGGGACCGCGTGGGCTGAAGACCAGCGCGCTCTCGACTGAGCCACAGCGACGACAAAGGAGGGGGCTGGTTTTTCTGGCTAGATGCTTTGGGACGCCGTTTTGTTGCCGTGACGCTTCAAAATGGCACTCCAAAAGATTTAGTGAGAAAAATCAGGCGTCGCAGCGGTCGCGGCCATGGCGCAGTCGGGAGCACGCTTGGCTCTTGAGCAGTCGGTAGCCCACACGATCCCGGTTCGACCCCCGGTAGCGCCTTTCGATTTCTATTTTTAGTATTTTTATCTTAAATAGCATACTATATTAGATTCTAAGGTTTTCTAAAGAAGTTTTAGCTTTCTAAAGAAGTTTATTGATCAAAAAAAAGGCTGAGAAAAACCCATACATACGAACAGGCACTGCTCTTTTATATCTGTTACCCAACTAACCCTTTTTACGCGTCCTAATCCAAACTAATTTCATAATTTTTACTAAATTTTACTATTTCTAACTTTACTTTAAGAATCTATAAGTTTTGCTCTACAAAACGACACCAAAATCATCAAAATCAAGAAGAAAAACCGGATTTCTCGGCTGGTAAAGCAAATTGAAGCCAAAAAAGCGAATTGGAAAGCTTTTTTCGAATTCGCTCATGAATTAGGACCTATGGGAGCCAAATTAGAGCCCAAATGAATAGTGGGCACGTGCTAGGGCCCTCAGGGTCCAGGCCCAGCTCACCCTTTATCCAACAAAAAGAGATCTGACCAACTGGCTGACTTTTTCCCGGAAAGAGATGACCAAAGATGAAAAGAGATCGTTTTTCCCCCAGCTTTTTCTTCTTTTCCGCTTTTTGATGGGGAAAAAAGTGCCTGGCACAAACACGACACTTAAAAATCGACAAAATCACCTTATTCTTTTCACCGAGCTTCTACTAACCATAAAAGTTGAAGCTATAGTTTTTTTTAGTGTGCAGAGATAAAAGTGATGATCTTTGAAGGGATCAGGCTGGCTAGTACTAACTGGATTTGTATGGATGTGTAACTAGATGGTTCGCTAGATGTAGCTAGATGCTAGATGTAGCTCTAGCTAGCTAGATGGTTCGCTAGATGTAGCTAGATGCTAGATGTAGCTGTAGCTAGCTAGATGGTTGTAGCTACATGGTTCAAGGGTCATTTTACAAAGCCAGTTCAGAAATAGATCAAGATCTTGGCCTAATTTCTCGGCTAAGAAGCTCAAGACTCAAGCTCAAGTGACCCAAGTTTGCCTGTAGAAGCCTGACTTGATTTTAGCTTTGACTGGCTGGCTTTGACTGGTTTGGGTTGATCAGATCTGAGTTAGATCAGCATCTAAGTCAGATTAGGTCAAAATCCTGGACCTAGACTAGTCTGGAACTGGCTTCTGCACGGGTTCTAGTCTATCTTGAAGCCCGTTGGGTTTTGGCAAGGCCAGGGCTTGTCTGGCTAGAATTGGTTGGGTTTTGATCTGGTTAAAGAATAGAGTTAAACAATAATTGAATATCCTATAAATGTTAGATGCTAAAACAGTGGTACTAGTTGTTCCTAGTTAAAATCTCTCATCAAAATCCAAAAACCAACAAAAGATGGAACAAAGATAGAAAAAGAAAGAAAATGAAAGAAAATGAAAGAAAATGAAAGAAAAGACCTTGAGCCTTGAGGCCTTTGGCCTTGAGAAATTCTTCTCAGGGCCAAAAAAATTGTATTCACTATAATTCCTTTATAAAAAGGCTTGAAATTGATCTAAAAATGGAATAAATAAAGAAAAAGAAAGGAAAGAAAGAAAGAAAGAAAGAAAGAGAAAGAAAAAGAAAGAAAAAGAAAGAGAAGAAAGATATTCTCTTTACGAGATCGATGAGTAAGATGTGTTTGAGAGATTTGAGGGAAATGACGTCACGAGATCGAATTGGAGACAATGAAAAGGGGGAAAGAAGGAGAAAAGAAGGAGAAGATCAATGAAAAGTGGATTTGAAAGATCAATGGAGATCAATAGAGGTCAATAGAGGTCAATAGAGATCAATAGAGATCAATAGAGATCAATGGAGATCAATGGAGATCAATAGAGATCAATAGAGATCAATAGAGGTGAATAGAGGTCAATAGAGATCAATGGAGATCATTTTTAGGGAAAGTATTTTGAAATAATTGATCGTTTTTTGAGATCAAAATCACTGTTAATAGAATTTTCAAAGTTTTTGTGCCAGTAAAGGATTGTTAAAGTTTTGCAAAGGATTCTATTAGCTTTTTGAATAAATTTTTGAATAATTGTACAGAGGACAATTCAAGCTTTCAAATGATATCAAAAAGAGCTTGATTGGATAATCGAGTCCAAGAAAATCAGAGCCAACTCTGGAAAATGAGGTCCATCTGACTCGGGTGTCGTGTCGCCTGGTTTGCATGGGAATGAAAAATCCAATTAAGCTCTATTTGGTATCATTTGAAAGCTTGAAATGTCTTCTGTACAATGATATAAAAAGTTAAGAAAAATATTATCTCTGGACAAAGTTATAGGTCTTCAAAGCATGACGAGCCGTTGAAAAACCCGGATTCTTTCAAATGACCCAGATTCTTTCAAATGACCTGGATTCTTTCAAAGGACCTGGAAACTACGCAATAGATATGCGATCCGGTCGATTCGATCGATCCGTCCCACCCACTTTCGCCTTTTTGCCGTTGGCAAACTACTTTTTTCTCAGCTTTCCCTAAACCAATTCTAAAACAGAATCATTCAGCTAAATGTCTTTCACCAAAGAAGTACGTTTTTAAAGTTTTCAAATCGTTAAAGCTTGTTGATCTCCCTTATCTCTTCTGACTCAAACTTGAAAATCCGGACCTGTCACGGTGGTCCCTTTTCTCCTTTTCTTTTCTTAGTTTTGAGGCTAAAATCAATCATTCCCAATCCCCTTTCCCAACTAGAAGCTAGAGGTCAATCGGTTTACCTAAAAAAAAACTCAAGCTTTCCATCAAAAAAAAGCGAGTCTTGTCACCGGGTGTAATCGGAGTTTCATCTGACAGCTCTCCTGGACTCTAGGAAAACCAACTAGAGAGAACTTGTGACCCAATAAAACCAAGAGAGACAAGGGTTTAGCTTTTTGATTCACACGTTCATTCATTCCTTCATTTGCCATCCTTGTAGAATGCTATGGTCAACAGGATTGTACGACAGAACGCTACGATGTTGCTACTATCGAATTTGCTTGGAATTGAAGAGAAATTGACCTAAAAAGATGGGAAATTCGAGCAATAAACACTTATTTAGAGAAAAGAATAGGTTAATTGGTGAAGTATGAATAAACGGTTTATGAAATGAAAAGTAATCGAGTATGAAAAGGAATGAAATGATTTTCTGGATAGTTTAATACATAGTGACAAAGTTTGGAGCCAAAGGTTCAAGACAAAGCTTGGATTTAAAGGTTTAAGACAAAACTTGGAGCCAAAGGTTTAAGACAAAGCTTGGCTTCAAAGGCTTATGGCAAAGCTTGGGTTCAAAGACTTAAGACAAAGCTTGAATCAAAAGACTTAAGACAAAGCTTGGGTTCAAAGGCTTAAGACAAAGCTTGGCTTCAAAGGCTTATGACAACGCTTGGGTTCAAAGGCTTATGGCAAAGCTTGGGTTCAAAGACTTAAGACAAAGCTTGAATCAAAAGACTTAAGACAAAGCTTGGGTTCAAAGGCTTAAGACAAAGCTTGGCTTCAAAGGCTTATGACAACGCTTGGGTTCAAAGGCTTATGGCAAAGCTTGGGTTCAAAGACTTAAGACAAAGCTTGAATCAAAAGACTTAAGACAAAGCTTGGGTTCAAAGGCTTAAGACAAAGCTTGGCTTCAAAGGCTTATGACAACGCTTGGGTTCAAAGACTTAAGACAAAGCTTGAATCAAAAGGTTCAAGACAAAGCTTGAGTTCAAAGGCTTAAGATAAAGCTTGGGTTCAAAGGCTTAAGACAAAGCTTGGGTTCAAAAGGCTTAAGACAAAGCTTGAATCAAAAGACTGAAGACAAAGCTTGGGTTCAAAGGCTTAAGACAAAGCTTGGGTTCAAAAGGCTTAAGACAAAGCTTGAATCAAAAGACTGAAGACAAAGCTTGGGTTTAAAGGCTTGGGTTCAAAGACTTAAGACTTAAGACAAAACTCGAAATGGTTAGTTCCAAATATTACTCTAATATAAAGCTAGCTATGAGCTCAAAAAGCAAAACAATTTTTCGAAAAGGCTTAAGAGATGGGAATGGTTGTGGATGGAAAGAATGTACAGGGAAATGGATGAGAGAACAAGGCAGAGACAA